ACTTCTTCATGAACCCGAGCCCGGTCTACGAGGTCACGTTTCTGAAGAAGCTGCCGCACGATCTCACGTGCGGCGGCGGCGGCAAGCCGAGCCATGAGGTGGCCAACTATATTCAGAGAACGATCGCCGCTACGCTGTCGTTTGAATGCACCAATTTTACTAGAAAGGATAAGTACAGAGCACTCGCCGGAAACGATGGCGTCGTGGTGGAGAAGCCCAAGGTGGAGTCTACAAAGATAATGGGCTGCTGAAAGTGAAGCAATTGGGCCCAATAATGTTATAAAATTACCACCTCATAATATATACAAAACTTGAAAAGTGTTTTCCTTTTTTCTTGAAGAGAGAATGGGTTTTAGATACTTGGTTCGTTTTTGTTGATTGTTTTTTTGGTGCTTAATTCGGCTTCGATTTTGAGTTTGGTAGCTTGAGTCGTGAGTTTAAATGGGTTTCGATGTGGTAGAGAGGGTATGTTGGGTAGCGTGAAGTGACCTTACTACGTGTGGTAGAAGAAAAAAGGTTACTGAGAGTTCGAGGAATAATACCTTTGACTTTGAGTATGAGGAACCATGGATGAAACCTCACTAACCACCAATATTCTTTTTGAAATATAAATTGTAACGAATTCAAAGAGAACAAGAGTGGAAGCAAGAGAGAAACTATACGAAGAAATAACTTCTGTTCATTGAATTGAGAATTGYTACAAATTTTTATACGAAAAGTAAATAACCGACCACTAACCCACTAAACATACCACTACCCTTRAATTTCCTTCAAACCATAACTCCACACTAAGCTACAAACTCTTTAAAGTTCCATCCATTCTTCCTGCTACTTAATTAACTCACAACAACTACAAATTAGCCATCAAGCATATAACTCTTGAAAAGTGGAAACACTAATCTAAACTAACACATGTTTGCGCTAATTCTTAACATAAATGTGGTATTTAAATTTATATTGCCAAAGCGAGCATAACTCAACGGTAATTGACATAATTCAACGGTAATTGGTATAATCTTCAACCAAGAGGTTGTGAGTTCGATCTCCACCCCTACATGTTGTATTAAAAAACAATCAGATTAAAAAAAATAGATACAAATAAATTTGGAAAAAAGTATAGTAAATTTGAGTAAAGAAAGATAGAGTAAATTTAAATAAAAAATACAGTAAATTAAAAAAAAATGAAAAGGCAAATGAAAAAGAGAGGAATTTGTAATTTTGTGAAATAGAAACAAAAAAAAAATTGTAAAAAAAAAAGAGAGATAACAAAGAGAGGTGAGACCTTTCACAAGAGAGAAAAAACGGCACGAGTCGAAGAACTTATAACAAAATTAGTATTATAAAACTAATATTGTAGATGCCCGTTCAAAGGACACATGTTTGTTGAATATGATTTCCATGTGTCATCCTCCCATCCATGCTTAGTGTCCAAATAGTACACATCATGGTTATTTACATTGCCTATAAATGTAGGCAATTCATGATTCTCAAGTAGATAGAAAAATTGAAGACATTTCCTATGCAATTTTGATATTTGTAAATTTACATTTTATTTATAATTTCAATTTTATAATTCACATCATGGTTGGACGTTGGAGTCATCTACCCAATATCTGGTAGCAGCTAAGTGAGCTCAGTACAATGTGTACCAAAGAAAGGTAGGATGATGGTGGTGGTAAACSAGGAGAATGAACTTATATTAACCCAGACTATGAGTGGGTGGAGAGTTTGCATCAACTATCACAAACTAAACAAGGTAACGAAAAAAGATCCTTTTTCACTCTCGTTTGTTGACCAAATGTTGGACTGTCTTACAGGTAAGAAGTTCTACTGCTTCCTAGACAGATATTCAGGGTACAACCATATTACCATTGCTCTGGAGGATTAAGAGAAGACGACGTTCACATGTCCGTATGAAACATTTGCCTTTAGGCGTATGCCCTTTGGTCTATGCAATGCACCAACGACATTTCAAAGGTTCTTCAAAGGTAATCAAACTTTCTCCCAATACTTTTTCTCTATTMTGTGTTTTTCAATTTCAAAGGAGAAATCGAACACAATTTGCAGRGGATTCGATCCGTTCGTTATCTCCATCAGAACTTACTCAAGYGGAACCGTTGTGGGGTATATTTTTCGAACCTATTTGGAAGGTCCTGTTATCCTGGTTGATCCCTCGTACTGTCAGTTTTTYCGTACTTTGATCCAGATTGTTCTTCTCTAGACCTATATCTCTTCACGCTGTGCTCTGCTTAACTGCGCTCTCTAACGTAATCCCGCTTTGAATAGAGTAGTTCCCCTACACTCATATTATTTTGGGCGCGACTTAATGCTTAAGAGAAGGTAGCTAGGGTCTTATTTTCCAAAGGAGAATGACAAATTTTCATCTTTCACACCGAACATGAAGGTGATAAAGGACRTTCCGTCAGTAACACCCTCGACTTGCAACTTCTCCTCGTTGAACCGAGCTACGTATTCTTTGAGGCATTCTATCAACTTCTGGTGAGAAGATATGCCATGGGTAGACTTCTGTTCTRTCCTCCGATAAATTGTGTGACGAATGTCCTTGCAAGTTCTTTGAAGGAGGAGATTGACTTCCTCTTCAATTGTTGGAACCATATGCGGGCTGAACCAGTCAACGTGAAGGAGAACACCTTACATCTGATGACTTCTGTCACCTCGTAAATGTCCATYCATTCCCTATATGCGTTGAGGTGGTCGATAGGATCCATAGAGCCATCGTATTATTTGATGGCTGGAAACTTAAACTTTGGTGGGACCTTCTCTTTCATAATTTCTTCCGCCTGATCTATGATTTCTTCTAGGCCACACCCTTTGTCTTTCTGTTTTTCTTCGGGTTTCTGCTACTTCTCAGCTCGTTCATGCTTGCTACATTGCAATCTCTTGTCAACAAGGGTGTGCTTGAGATCTGGTCAGCTAACCTGGTTGCTCTTGCTCCTACCGCACGCCACAAACTTCTGTTGTTGCGTGGTCTTTGGACTTAGTCGATCGAAAACTTCATCTAGTGACTTGCTGTTTCCTCCCATCTTCAATTTGCTTCGATTAAGTGGATTGTTTGTCGACTCCTCAACATCTTCGATTTCTAGAGCTTTACCTTTTCGTGGATCTTAGACTAGCGTATTTGTCGCACATCCTGTTGTTGTCTCAAATCCTGTTGTTCGAGCTTGCTTAGAAGGAGAGATATATTTTGGTGCATTCCTTTGACTTTCTTCTCCAAGGCGGCTAATTTGTTCATTTGTTATTATTGACCCTCATCTGTTGCTCTTTTTGTYTGAGAACTTGTCGACTTGTTTTACCTAGGACTTCTTCAGGCCCAAGCAATTCTCASTTCACTTTTCTCCTCGAATGTAATTCGTCGTCGGACCACTRCTGATCCTTTCAAGAATTCATGTTGATCTTTTTGGCTTTTAGATCTTAGTCTTCCCCACAGACGGTGCCAATTGTTAATGCAGAATTTAGGCTCCTTAGGAATCCGCCAAATTCGCACCAATTATTAATAATGAAATTGGAAACGAACGTCAACTTGCAAAACAAATAGCATTGAACATCGGTGTGGTGCTAGCCACATAGGCTAAAATGCCTAGTTAGAATCAGAAGTTTGCGAGTAATGTGAATAAGGTTCTCAGCGTACCTGAATTRTGAGATTTATCTCTTTACTTATAGATGTCAAAGTTGATAGGATATCTTCTCTTCTCAAATAGCTTGGATTTTGGAGATAACACCATCGTTGGCCAGACGGTACAAGAAAATGGGAGCTGACCCATCAATTGGCTTGTTGGAGAAGCACAAAAACCTGGTCTGTCGGGACCTGGCTAGGCTCTAAGTTTGGTCACGCTTTAGATTTGGTCATGTCTTGGATTGAATTTAGTCATACCCTGGATCTGGTCATGCTTTGGGCCATTGACTTGTGATGTAGTTCGCTTCTTGTCGGGTCTAATTTTGTCTTCCCATAACAGGATTGGTTGCTGGATAATGCAAATGAATAAGATTTTTAAAAGTCTTTAGGATCACTTCATGGGTGTTGTGGAACTCTAGGAACAACATAATTTTTACATCAGAAAGACTCATCAATCAAATAACCAAATTCAACAAGGACAAAAGACATTTAGCATTGAGGTGTAACATTTCAACCTCAAATTTTGTTTGACAATGAAATCTTACTGGCGGGATTCAAGATGTTGAGGCATGGAATCCACCTTTACCAAATGTCTGGAAGCTGAACACTGATGCATCGTGGTTAGAAACTCTTTAGAGAGGGGGACTTGGATGGCTGCTTCGAAATTGGAAAGGTGAAGTAATATTGGTTGGAAATAAACCTTTTGAAACGAAATGTAGTGTTAAAATGTTGGAATATATGGCGATTTTGGAAGGTCTAAGTGTAATACTTACCGTGGTTGAATACAACAGAAACCATGGGTAAAACAGAGTACTTCTGTAAATAGTTAGTTATTAGGCTAAAGTCCTTTTAAATAGCTTAGTCTGTAGTTCTGGAAGTTGTAGAAGAAATTCCCTTGGTAATCCTCTCTAAAAGAAAGTGAAAGATTAGCCTTACAGTGGTCGTAGGCCAACATTAGGCTGAACCASTTAAAACCCTTGTGTCTTCTTCTTCACTTTACTCTTCTCTTACACTCAAGCTTCTAAATTGACAAAAGTTCCTGAAATTTTTTCTAACAAAATTGGTATTAGAGCCACGGTTCACAGGAGTTTTGGTTAATTCATGAAGCAAGAACCAGCGATGGCTGTAGCGAGGTATGAGATTGAAAAGTTCGATGGAAAAGGCGACTTCGAGCTGTTGAAAATCAAGATTAAAGCAATTCTTGGMCAGTAGAAAGCTTCCAAAGTAACTCTTGATCCAGCAAAGTTACCTGAGTCGATGTCAACTGAAGAAAAGGAGACAATGGAAGAGATCGCTTATGGGACAATCATTCTGAATCTTAGTGATAGTGTCCTACGACAAGTCATTGATCTCGAAACTGCATACAAGGTATGGAAAAAATTAGATGAAATATATCTTGCTAAAGATTTACCAAATAAGGCATATATCATAGAGAAAATTTTCAATTATAGAATGGATAATTCAAGATCCATGAGTGAGAATTTAGATGATTTCAAGAAACTATCTTCAGAGTTTAAAAATCTCGGTGAAAAAATAGGAGATGAAAATGAAGCTTTTATCTTGTTGAACTCCCTTCTAGAAGCCTATAAAGAAGTAAAAGTGGCTTTGAAATATGGAAGAGAAATGCAATAATTTCAGTAGTAAGAACCAGAACCAAAGAATTAGAGCTATTAGCATCTAAAAGAGAGAGGGTTAATGGTGAAGGTCATTTTGCAAAGGACAAAAATAAAACCGCCTGGAAAGATCAGAAAAATCAACAAGATGATAAAGGAAAATCTAAAATCAAATGTAGCTATTGTCACAAGGAGRGACATTTAAAGAAAGATTGTTTTTTCCWTAAAAGAAAACAGAACTGGAAAAATAAGAAAAACAAATCTGGTGAAGCCTCAGTTGATGAAAATGCCCTCACATATTCAGATGTTCTAGCTGCAATTGATCACAGTGCTGAACAAAGTGGATCTCAAGAAAATCAGGATTGGGTTCTTGATTTGGGGTGCTCCTACCATATGACACCTTCGAAAGCTTGGTTCAGAACTTACAAGGAATGGGATGGTGGTTTTGTATATATGGGAAATAATCATGTTTGCAAAGTAGTSGATATTGGTACTGTATCTCTAAAAATGAAAGATGGGTCTATGAAATTGYTCCAAAATGTGAGACATRTTCAAAGTCTTAAGAGAAACTTAATTTCTCTTGGCATGCTTGATGCCATTGGCTGTGAATAAAGTGGATCTGGAGGTACTTTTGAAGTAAAAAAGGATTCAAAAGTTGTGTTGGTTGGTGAGAAAGTCGTCTATATGTAATCCAAAATGTAGAGTTAGCAGGAGCAACACTTGTATAATCAGAAGATAGTCTTTCAAGAGGAGATCTCTGGCACAAACGCTTATCTCATATAAGTGGTAAAGGCTTGCAAGAGTTAGGTAAGCAAGGTATTCTACCGACAGGCCTAAATGAAAAATTTAATTTTTGCGAACACTGCATCATTAGAAAGGCTAAGGCAGAGCTTTAAGAAATCAGATCATGTGACAAAAGGAATTTTGGACTACATCCATTCAAATCTATGGAGACCCGTCAGAACGCCATCATTAAGTGGTTCGAGGTATTTTTTCACTATTATTGATGATTTTTCAAGAAATAATGGATATATTTTMTGAAGACTAAGGATTAAGCAACTGAAAGGTTTATAGACTGGAAGAAATTAGTTGAAAATCAAACTAGAAGAACTGTTAGATACTTAAAAACAGACAACGGTTTGGAATTCTGTGGGGAAGAATTTAGCTCGTTCTGCAGAGAAAATGGCATTACTCATCACAAGACCGTTAGACACACACCTCAACAAAATGGTGTGGCTGAACGCCTAAACAGAACAATAACTGAGAGAATAAGGTGTCTTTTATCAGATGCTAGCCTACCAGAAAGATTCTGGACAGAAGCTGCTTCATATGTAGTTTTTACCATCAATAGATGCCCACGTACATCCGTTGACTTTCTAACTCCTAAAGAAAAATGGACAAAGCATCCACCAAAGCTTGACAATTTAAAAATCTTTGGTTGGGTTGGCTTTGTACATATAAACCAAGGTAAAGTAAAACCAAGAGCAATAAGATGTATGTTTGTAGGATTCACTGAGGGAGTTAAAGGTTAAAGAATGTGGCATCCCACTAATCAGAGATGCATAAATAGCAGAGATGYAATTTTTAGAGAAGAAGAAATGTTCATGTACCAGGAAGTTCATAAATCAACTACTAAAGCAGTTGAAAAATCCAAAATTGAGGTGGAGTTACCAACTGAAATAAAGGATAGCAGACATCAAGTTGGTCTTGGTCATGATGAAACTGAAGTAGTGGAAGGGGAAGAAACTCTACATATAGGTGAAACTTCTATGCAACAATCAGATTTGGCTTACTACTCACTTGCTAGATACAGACAGAGAAAGAAAATTCATCCACCAAAGAGGTATAGTGACTCCAATATAATTGCAGCTGCCTTGAGTGTTGCACACACCCTAAATGATGTTGAACCACAAAGTTTTGAAGAAGTTGTAAATGGGCCAAATGCTTATAAGTGAATTGAGGCCATGAATGATGAGATGAACTCATTAGAAGTTAATAACACATGGACCCTAGTACCACTACCTATGAGATACAAACCAATAGCATCCAAATGGATCTATAAATTCAAAGAGGGAATTCCAAGATTCCAACAACCCAGATACAAAGCAAGACTAGTTGCTAAGGGGTTCACACAAAGAGAAGGCATTGATTACTCAGAAATTTTTTCTCCAGTTGTGAAACAAACGTCTATCAGAACGCTTCTAGCTCTAGTAACACAAATGGAGTTAGAACTAGATCAACTAGATGTAAAAATAGCCTTCTTACATGGTCATTTGACAGAAACAATATTTTTAAAGCAACAAGAGAGATACCAACAAAAGGGAAAGGAAAACCAGGTTTGTCTCTTAAACAAATCCTTATATGGATTAAAACAGTCACCAAGATGTTGGTACCATAGATTTGATGAATTTATCACAAAAATGGGTTTTATTAAAAGTGCATATGACAATTGTTTTTATGTGGAGACTACTTCACAAAGAAATAATGTTTTTCTACTACTATACATAGATGACATGTTATTAGCCAGCAAGAGAATGGAAGATTTACAACAGGTGAAGAAATGCTTGAAAGCTGAATTCGACATGAAAGACCTAGAGAAGCAAAAAAGATCCTAGACATGGAAATCTATAGAAATAGAAAACTAGCTGAGATGARAGTTACTCAAACTTCATATAGCAAAGAATACTTATGAAATTCAAGATGAATGAACCCGAACCAGTGAAAATTCCTTTGGCTCAACACTTTAAGCTTTCATCTACAAATTCACCTGATGAAAATGATACTGAACACAAAAGGTACATGAACTCAATACCTTATTCAAGTGTTGTAGGCAGCTTGATGTACTTAATGATATGTACAATACTAGATTTGGCTTACTCAACCAGTGTAATTAGTAGGTTTATGTCAAACCCGAGAAAAAGACATTGGGAAGCTACAAAATGGGTATTGAGATACCTAAGAGGAACTGAAAACGTAGGCATTACATACAAGCAAGTGAAAAAAACAAGAGTTGGAACTCTATGGCTATGTTGACTTTGATTATGCGGGGGACTTAGACAAGAGAARGTCCTTATTAGGATACTTATTCCTAATTGGAGAGAACATAATTAGTTGGAAAGCTACACTCATAGTAGCACTCTCCACCACAGAAGCAGAGTTTATAGTCCTTTCAGAGGCAGTCAAAGAGGCCTTGTGGTTGAAGGGTCTCTTGAAAGATTTTGGTTTTGATCCATCCAAAGTAAAAATCTTGTGTGACAATCATAGTACAATCTTCTTGTCAAAAAAGCAACAATTCCACAGCAGGACCAAGTACATTGACGTAAAATTTCATTTTGTCAAAGAACAAATTKRAAAAGGTACGATAAAAGTGATAAAAGTCCATACCTCTTATAATGCTGCAGATATGTTAACTAAAACAGTCACTCAAGTAAAGTTTGAACATTGTATGAGATTGGCTCGAATCTACATACCTGAGAAAGGATAAAAAACAGATTAAAATGGCTGATCTTTCATTTTCTGTATGTCTTCAAAGGTGGAGATTTGTAATACTTACCGTAGTTGAATACAACAGAAACCATGGGTAAAACAGAGTACTTCGGTAAAGAGTTAGTTATTAGGCTAAAGTCCTTTTAAATAGCTTAGTCTGTACTTCTGGAAGTTGTAGAAGAAATTCCCTTTGTAATCCTCTCTAAAAGAAAGTGAAAGATTAGCCTTACAGTGGACGTAAGCCAACATTAGGCTGAACCACTTAAAACCCTTGTGTCTTCTTCTTCGCTTTACTCTTCTCTTACACTCAAGCTTCTAAATTAACAAAAGCTCCTGAAATTTTTTCTAACACTGAGAAATTTGACAAAACCTGATGGGATACCGAGTGCATGTGGAAACTGATTCGGCAAAGGTTGTGAACCTTCTACGATGGTAAGACGACAACATCACCAAAATTAGATGGATCTTTAGAGGAAATTAACAATCTGGGTGCTCATTTTGGTGTGGTTTCGTTCGATAAAATCGCGAGAGAAAGGAAACAATTTTGCCCACCAACTTGCGTGGAGAGCTTCTAAATCAAGAGAACAAGATATGCGGAGTTTGTATATTCCTGATTGATTATCTTTGATGGCTAAACATAATTTTTCTAGTTTGGTTCTTTGACGAAGTGTTTATTTCTCAAAATATATACACACACATACATACTAATTAACGTCAAACTAGAAGAGTTTAAACGGTTATATATGTATTTTTTAAATATAGAAAAAATTAGATTGTTTCAAAGTTTATGGATTAAAATGTAACGAATCTAAAAATTTAGAGATTAAAATAGATACCGTGAGTATTTAGAGACTAAAATAGAATAATCCTAAATGTAAATGTAAATTTAATTTGTTATATGAAATAAATTTATGACATAGATAAATTTAACTTAAAAAGGAAAAAAGTTCAGGTAAGAATGTAGTATAAAAAGAAAAGGATATGATATATTTTTTACATATATTGATGGTAGAAAAAAAAGAATGATTTAGCAGTGAAGAAAATTGCCAAATTAATTTAGAAAATACTGGTTGGCCACTGCATGTTAGAGAGAGAATGAAAATAAGAGGAAAAAAATGTCATAGAAGGTAAGGTAGGGAGTGGATCTTGCATGTAAGAGAGAGAATCAGAGAATTGATAATTCTTGTATTGCAATGGTTTTGCGTGTTAGAAAGAGATGGTGAATGAAAAATAAGAAAAAAATAAATTTGTTCTAACAAAAAGTAATGTAAAAACTCAAAAAAAAAAAAAAATTCAAATTAAATTTTGCACAAATAAAGTTCAATTTATATATATATTTAAGACCTTACCAAAACTCACAAAATTTCAAACAAAGAAAAAAAGAAAAAATCTAATGAAAAAAAAAAAAAAAAAAATTCAAATTAAATTTTGCACAAATAAAGTTCAATTTATATATATATTTAAGACCTTACCAAAACTCACAAAATTTCAAACAAAGAAAAAAAGAAAAAATCTAATGTTGTTTTTCTCTTCAATTTTTTTAATTTTGCACCTACAAATGTTTTGAGAATACTTTTTTCTTTTCAAGAGTTTTCAAAGGAAAAGCTTATCAAAAGGTAARATTTATAAATTTTATTCAAATTTAAAGTGAAAGTTGCGATAATTATCAAAGTTGAAAGTAGAATGGGATGCAATTGAAAGTTTATAGGTTATTTGAGGTTAAAAACTTGTTTTCTCCGAAAAAATTATGGAAAAAATGAACATTAAAATGATCAATGGGAATATCAAAAATAGCCATTCAATATAATTTTCCCTCAAAGAGGACCCGAGACTCTGAAAGATTCAGAGAGAGAAAGAGTCAACGGAGAGCAATTTCCCGGTGGAAGAAACTTCCATTTCCATTCCATGGTCGTAAACAGCGGTTTTGCAGCAAATCCTCTTCTGGGTGGTCTATTAAATTTGGTCTTAAATGAGTAATTTGCTCACTCTTCTCCATTTTTTCTTCGTTTTTCTCCATTTTATATATCTCGCTTTGTGTCTTCAATTTCTGGGTTTCAGAGCTCCAGTTTCCATATGGATTCTCGACGTTTTCTCGCGTTTTCTCTCTGTTTCCTTTGCTTATTCCCTCTCTTTTGTCGCTCCACCAATCCTATGCCGAGATTGCTCATGGACCGCAACAACATGTACTTCACTTTAATTTCTCTGTTTTTTCTCCCCCATTCACACGGCATTTGAAGTTTTTGGGTTAATTTGTATGAGTTTCACAGGGGACGAGGATCTCTTATTAGGATGAAAACGGGCGGTTCCTCCATTTCAATCGATCCCAGTCGTGTCACTCAGCTCTCATCGCAACCCAGGTTCTTAATCTTCTTAATTCTTCTCTCAATTTCTCGATTAGGTCGAGAATGTGCACATTYCGGACAATCCAATTCGATTTTTCGCTCAATCAACCAAAAATTTTCAGGGCTTTCGTATATAAGGGATTTCTGTCTGCAGAGGAGTGTGAGCATCTTATCAATTTGGTGTGATAAACTTCACGTTCTTCATTTTCTTTTTCTGTTTGGAGCCTGAGAAAATTGATAACAGACTCCAGAGTCCATAATTGTTTTATATTTTGTAGGCGAAGGATAAGCTTGAGGAATCGTTGGTGGCTGACGACGTGACGGGTGAGAGTGTTACAAGTCGAGAACGGACGAGTACTGGCATGTTTCTTGTCAAGGGTCAGGTATTTTACTTCAATATTGACAAAATTTGATGTATCTGCAACATTGCTTGCTGTTTTTCTGCTTAAAATATATGTCAATTTCTAGTAGTTTAAATTACTTTTTCAAATTTGAATGTCAAATGGGTTTAGTAAAATTCATATAAGGCAGAACATGGAAGAGACAGTTGGGCAGAATTTTATCTCAAGGGTGCTGTAATAATCATTTAGTTTGTTCTTGTCTATCTACCTTTGGCTGTTGCGAGTCTGATCTTGACTGATTTGTTATTATCATTGGTTGTGAGAAGGCTATCTTCCAATTGAGTTTCCATGTCATTTTTGAGGTTATTAGAATGCAGATCAATCCAAGTGCTATGTAGTATGTTTGAGTTCTGCCCCTTGCTTAAATTTAGCGACGGTGCTGTTAGTAATGAGCAACTACTGGAGAATGAAGGTTAAATTATACCTTTCATCCTTGTAATTTCATTTTGGWRTCGATTTCGTCCCTTTGTACATCAACATAATAATCCCTCTAGTCCCCACTGTTAATAAGATGTGGCATATGGGGTAGATTCAGTCAAAAAAATTTCAATATTTATTAGTAGTAGGGATCATTGAAATTAACAAATTTAAAAGGTACATGGATGAAATTGATGCAAACATAAACTTACAAGACTAGAGGTAAACTTTAACTAAAGAAAAATAAAGGGAAGGTAAAAGAGGTGTTAAGATAGAACTTCCCATTATTTTTTTCCTTTCAACTGTAGTAATTGTTTCATGTTTGAACTTGAGACCTTTTGGATAACAAGAATGAGGACTTTCAGACTTGGGATGCCATCTCTCTCTCTCTCTCTCCCTCCCTCCCTCCGTTTTATTTTATTATTTGATTATTTTTCTGGCATTTTAATGTCAAAGAACTTTTTAGTTGTGAGCTTTTTGTTGGTAGCTGTTGAGTTGTGCCAAAGTGTAACAACCTTGTACTTTTTTTTGTATCTTTCATAAATATAAAACAACTGCAACTTAGTTCTTTGGTCCCCTTCCCATCTCCAGGACAAAATAGTTGCTGGCATCGAGTCCAGGATTGCTGCATGGACCTTTCTTCCCGTCGGTAAACTACTTACTGATCTTTTGACGTTTGATCTTTCATATATTTATGGAGTGAGGCTCCTAAAATCTCAAAACTGTTGTTCTGTTCAGATAATGGGGAGCCTATGCAAGTACTGAGATACGAGAACGGTCAGAAATATGATCCACATTTTGATTTTTTTCAAGACCCAGTTAATATGGCCCAAGGTGGTCACCGGATTGCCACAGTCTTGATGTATTTGTCCAATGTTGAAGAGGGTGGAGAAACAGTCTTTCCCAATTCTCATGTATTACTTTCTCCARACACTAACTGCCCTCGTTCAGGACTTGTTATAATTTGCTTTCAAGCTGTTGATTATTGAACTTTGAAACTCTTTTACGAATCGTTCCAACTTCAAATCTCTCTTTGACAGGTTAAATTATCCGCACGGGAGAAGAAGGAACTGTCTGATTGTGCTAAGCTTGGGTATGCAGGTATTGAATTCTCTCCTAAAAAATATGTTCTTTAAATGATGTCAATACGAGAGTCTTTTATTCTGTAAATGTCCTCTGTTTTATGGAATTCAATTCTAGTTTATTTCAAAGTATTTTTCTCTTGAATTTTGGACAAAACTGACTTCGAAGTCTATTTATTGTAAAATTTACTAAGAACAAAAATCCTGCTGAGAACCTTGTTTATTCAAAGGACTGGCTCTCTTCTTTGTGACAACTCGTTATTATGCTTGATTCTTCTACTAGTCGTTCARTTCTCGCACTAGAATACAATATTTTTTACCATTTTTCATTTTTGTCATTAAACACTAATCACAAAAACACTGACTTAATCATGGCATGTAATATATCAGGTATGGTATAAAGTGGTCAAATATCAACTCTCGGATTCGTGATTTTTCCCATTGTATAGCATTTTTTTCTTCATCTGATATAATTCGTAGGATTCAAAAGAGCGTGTTTGTGTGTGGGTGCAGTAAAACCAAAGATGGGCGATGCTTTGCTGTTCTTCAGTCTCCACGCAAATGGGACAACGGACTCRAGCAGCTACCACGGGAGCTGCCCAGTGATAAAGGGCGAGAAATGGTCCGCGACGAAATGGATTCACATGCTTTCAGCCGACGAGATTTGGAGGAGTCCAGATTGTGTGGATATAAGTGTGAGCTGCGCTGCATGGGCAAGTACAGGTGAGTGTGTGAAGAATCCTGGTTATATGATAGGTTCTAAGCATGAACTTGGATATTGTAGGAAGAGTTGTAATGCTTGCTCTTCCATGGCATAGGCCTCTTTTACTTTGTACACACAGCAGAGGTTAAAATTCCCTCTTTTTCTCACACATGTAAATGCCTTTGATAGATAGGCCTCTTTTACTTTGTACACACAGCAGAGGTTAAAATTCCCTCTTTTTCTCACACATGTAAATGCCTTTGATAGATATATAGATATTCAAGATATATATCACAAAGCAACTCTCTCTCTCTGTCTCTCTCTCTCATGCTTTTGATTGTAAATGAGAAGGCTGGGAGTTCTGATCGCATTTTTGGAAAAAGTGTTTTTTCAGCAAACACTTTTTTAGGCAGTTTTGTGTTTCTTCTAAAATAAAATTTCAAACTATTTGTGATTGTCAAAAATTTCAAAAAGTGCTTTTAATTGATTAGAAGTACTTTTTCCCGCTCTTTAAAATTTTAACCAAATTCTACAAATTAGAAATAAAATAAATTTAAAAGGTATGTCAAACCCTCTAAAAAGAAGTTTAAGATCAATTACACAGATGAACTGTCCTAAAATAAAATATTTGTAAAAATTATTTAAAATGCTTTCTAAATGACTCATCTTAAAGAGATTACTTTAATAGCTTATGAAAGAATTAAAATTTTAGCTGATATGAGAGTAATTGGTTGTTTAGATTTGAACTTCACATCTACATTTGTATTTGTAGTGTTATATTCTTATATATATAAATAAATAAAAAAGAATTTTTCTAACAAAATTAAATAAAATATTTAATATTTTAATTCAAGTCTTCAATAATTGTTCCACATATACTAACAAGTGTCTAATAGGTATTAGATGTTTTTTAAACTATCCAACCGGTCTCAAATAGTATCTATATGTTCCACAAATTTTGACTCTCTTATTTTTTATTTTGATCGAAAATATCCAAAGTAGATACGTTCACCTCGACTAATCTCTTCGTACTGATCGGCAACAAAACATGATTTGTATTTGCCTTCCACATAAGTTAAGAAAAATCCATTTACCATTTTTGAGTTGCAATTAACTTCATAATCAAAGAATCACCCACTTTGAGCCTCCATAGAATGCACTTGGGGCCAACCTTCATGAGAGAGATGAAAACAAATCATGCAGTAATGGTTAATTGGGAGCCAAGTTTGCATGCTTTTCTTGCCCTAAAATCACTTCTTAAACACTCACTTCCCCCCCTTGAAAAAAATGTACTAAAACCCTCATCTTCCGATTGCATCACTATTACATAATAACTTTTACTCTCTCTCTCTCTCTCTCTCTCTAAAAGATGGGAAAACCTCCTTGCTGTGATAAATCCAATGTCAAAAGAGGCCTTTGGACTGCAGAAGAAGATGCCAAAATCCTTGCCTATGTTTCCAACCATGGAGTTGGAAATTGGACTCTGGTTCCTAAAAAAGCAGGTCTCTTTCTCTCCTTTTTTTTCCTTCGGGTAGGAGATCAAACCATCGACYATTGAGATAGTAATAGATGTCTTATCCATTTAAGCTACGTTCTGGTTGGTTTCTTTTCTTTCTTCTTTTGTAATTCAGTAAGAAAGTGCAACCATTTTGGCCTTTTTTTTTTTCTCTCCAGGGCTGAATAGATGTGGGAAGAGTTGCAGGCTGAGATGGACTAATTACCTTAGGCCTGATCTCAGGCATGACAGCTTCACTCCTCAAGAAGAAGACCTCATTATCAAACTCCATCAAGCCATTGGAAGCAGGTCCTACTCCCTCCCCCATTGCCCKTCATCCTTTACTCTCGTGTTTCGTTAAAGGTGTTTAGCTTACGAGTCGATTTGTACGAAGTATAGGCTTGTAGAGTCAAGTTTACATTGCCTAGTTAGAAACTTTTTTCTGATTTGCTCTAACATAGGCTATACAGTTCCTTTCACAAATCATAAATCCAATGCGTCATCTCATCTTTCTATGTGTTGGTACGATATTTTAAAACTCTCGTACTAATGGAGATGATCTTACTTTTATATTACGAAACTTTTCCATTTCTGACCAATAAGAGACTATGTTCTRCCATTCCCACAGATTATACAAATCCTAGCTTCTCTATACAATCCAAACAGGAGCTATACAAATCTTTCCAATCCCAAGCCACACAAACGTTTGATAAAATCATGAGCTAAACATCATCTTCTAATATTTGGTAATATGAAACATAACTAGTTATTGAGTACCTGAAGATGAATGTCTCTCAGGTGGTCTCTGATAGCAAAGCAACTCCCAGGAAGAACAGACAATGATGTGAAGAATTACTGGAACACAAAGCTGAGGAAGAAGCTCTCGAAATTGGGGATTGACCCAATAACCCACAAGCCATTCTCTCAGATCCTGTTCGACTATGGAACCATAAGCAGCAGCAGCAGCAGCAGCACACCGAAACCCCCAATTCCGGCCTTCAACACAACAATGGCGAAACCCCATCAGCCATTTTCAGGGATCTYTCAAACGCCAATAAGACCACAGTTCTTCAATGAACCACCCACCTCCTCTTCCTCTTCCTCATCCACTTCATCTTCTTCCTTGTCGCAGAGCTCAGATGGGTTCGTTTTGGGGCAGCGATCTGAAGGGTCGTCTTCTAATTCTTCGTCGTCTTTCAATTCGTTTGTGGATGCTCTGTTGGAGCAGGATTTCCAGATTAAGGGCTCGTTTCCAGAGATTTTGGAGGCCTGTTTTGATTACTGAGGAGGAGTTGGGGCTTTTGTTTGTTTTGGGCTTTGTTTTTTCTGATGGGTTTTYGAATAATTTGCAGGCGCAAACGCAAGATCTGAAATTAATAAGTGCTTCAATTTGGGCTGTTTCGTTTTCATTTCTAGTTTTGTTTGGAATTGGAGGAATGTTATTTCGTTTCTTTTGTTGAAAATTCGAACTTTTCTTCTAGGTTGAGAGTATAGATATGTTGGTTAAAAGTTTAAATGTTCTTTTTTAAAGATTATTTTTACTACCTATGTATTTTTGAGGTTGAGTCTGCATCGATAACGACTAATCGCATCAGACAATTATTTGATATTACTATATGTGGTTGTCAAGAAAATTTGTACCATATTAAATCATAGGTATAGTTAGGTTTGAACACTTTATTGTGAGCGTTTTTTATTTACTTGATTTTATGGTAATTTCAATATTTCTATGATATGGTTTTCCGTGAAGTTAGAGTCTTACACTTTTCAAAGTTTAASGATTTATTAGTAATTTAACCTAATAGATATCCTTTTAAAAACTAAAACTAAAATGGAATGGTTATTAAACGATGTTTAAATGAGTCGATTTCTTCAGTTTAAACTATACTTCGAATAGATGGCAAAATTTTAAAGCCTATACTTAACTAAGTGATTAATTCGTTTAATTTCTATTGTTTCAAGATTTGTGGTCAGTTATAGACGTTATTATGGTGGTATGAGACCAGTTTTACGAGTGCTGGTTCCTTTTAAGTATGTTATATATTTCTATTAGTTAGATGGAAATTTTATTGTTGAGTTTAAGTGTTTTTATCTATTTGATTTTATGCTACAGGTTCAAATATTCTTATAATTTGATTTTTTTTAATTTAATTTTGACATTTATAAGGATTCTTTTTAGCTTAAAGTTGAGCGAATAGCGTATGGAATAAAAACTATTAACTTTTCCCTCCTAATGTAATATCATTAAAATATATATATATATTAATGACACTTTTTTCTAATTTAACTTATTTGGTCATTCTCCAAATTTTAAAAGTTGATGTCGGTAGAAATATCATGGTCTAAATTTTTAAAAAATATCAATAAACATGTCAATAAAATGTCAACCGTCGATAAATACTTTTTAGAAATTAAAAAATTTAACTAACTGACAAATATTTAAATTAATAAATAAGAAGTTAATAATTATTAATATTAACATTATTTCCATGATATTAGTTAATATTTTTTTCTATTTTCTCGATTTTTTGTGATACTATATAAATGTCGATATCCTTCGTGTCGATGTCAAACCCATAGAAATATCTGTTGGAAAAAATTAAAAAAAAAATAATTTATGATTATTCTAAAATAAAAACTATAAAATTCGACAAAAATTAAAGCCAACGATCTAAACACAGAAGAAAACCAAAATCTATATAGAGTTTAGAATTACATAGAATCTAAATTGTGGTTTGTGTCCTCAACTAAACAACCCAGGCCAAATAAGTAGCATAATATATTGGAGGACCATAATCATATATTTATATATTAATCTTAGGGGCCGTTTGTTTCGTGGGAATCCAAGATTCCCGTGAGACGGGCATCTGGATTCCCACGTTTGTTTTATGGTAATGTAAGATATCCGGGTATCTTGAGATGTCCGAGTATCCTAAGATGTACATTTGGAAGACATCCGAGTCGATTTRGATGCCCTTTTGAAACATGGGTTTCCATGATTCCCATGTCGAGGACATCGTATGTTGACATTTTTACCCCTTCGTTATTTTTTCATATATGTTCTTTTATCAAATTCATTTGGTTTTATTTGTAATTTTATAGCTTAAATAAATTAATATATTCATTGACTAATAAACAATTAAGTATATTTATGTATTACATGTACAAATAAAATAAACTTCAATTAAATTATATAATATCYTCATTTACTTTTAATATTTGGAATGAATTATTATGAATATTTTTTATTATCTTAAATACATAATTTTAAAACAACMTTTTTTTAACGATTTGCTTACGTTTGATATTTTTCTTCTTAAAAGAATAAGATTTGATAATATAATAAATGAATTTCACCCCATATAACATTAATTATATAATTATATTTTTTCAAAAAATATTAAAGTTGAAAATGAAATTTATTTTCAACATTAATTACTTTAAAAAAAGTCTTATATTAATATTAATTCTACCTAATAACATACAAAAATTAATACATATACGTCAATTAATATAAAAAACCTAAAATATTAAATTAATTTAAGAAAATATATTATATAAATGCAAATTATATTAGATTAATGTATAAATTTTAACATTATATAAATTTAGAACATTCACATGAATAAATCGTTCAAAACAAATGTGATTATCCAGATATTCCTAGACATCCTTATATTTYTCCTACTAAACAAACGTGGTCATCTGAAAATGTCGRACATCTAAAATTCCAAACATTTGAAATTCCAGCCATGGGCATCTACATTCCCAAATTTCCCATAATCCCCTAARGAGYCGTTTGGTTGGTGGGTTTTCTAGGTGGGAATGGGCATGGGCAAGTAAAGCCCTTGTTTGTYACACTGCTTTGAAATCTTTAAGTTATTCCCAGGCATCYCTTATTCCTATGGACACGGGCTTTCTTTTCCCTCCCATAGTCATGGGTTTGTCCATTGGTTTTGTGCTAGACTCTCCYCCCTCYTCTTTAAATAATTTTTTAATGTAATTATTTACTTTATTTTATTCAAATTAATTAATTAAAATTAGTTAAAATATTTATATTTAATTTATACAACAACATTAAAATTTACCAATAATGTACTAAATTAATTATTCTATTGTAATAAATTAATTTATTAAAGTGTATACTTCATTTTTTTAATAAAAAATGTAATTAATTGATGCTATTAATAAGATGAAAATGATTAATTTTGTTAAACACATAAAAGAATAATTATTAAGATTGATTGCTAAATAAAATAAACAACATAAATTTAGATATATTATTTATAATATATTTATTAAAGAGTGAAACTTAAATTAAAACATAATTTCTTAAAATAATTATTATTTTGACTTAAYAAAGATAAATTAATTAATGTAAATTAATTATTGGRAGTTAATTTTTATTGATTTTAAATCTTTATACAAATATATCATTTTGCTAAATATTTATATATTGAATTTTAGTTAAATACCATATAATATTAATTATTTCAATTGATTATTGTACTAAATTGTCAGTATAGCTAAATTGTTAATTTAAAATTTAATATGCTAATATAAAATAATTTAATTTATATTATTTGTTTTTTATTTAAATTTGATTTGTCGGTTTACAATGACATAAAGATGCATATTTATAGAGTAATCACACAAAATAAACGTATCTATAATTCATTTTTAGACATCTTAATCCCAGACATYATAATTCCGGACATATATACAACCAAACACAGTTATCTTTGTTTTCGAGTCATCTTATTCCCAGATATCATAATCCCAGACATCTTATTCTCAAATATATTCTTGGATCAATGTTTCTAACTATTCTACATCCAAAACTTTTGAATACTAATTTTCAAATCAAATTGAAAAAGTTGTTTTTTTTAGTGCTAGAAAAATTGATTGATTTATGTTGGTTGGTTAGTCATAGTCCATTAGTTGTTTAGATGGGTCATGGAGGGTCAATTCAAAAGAGAGGACACATTGAACTTAGATTCACATTTCATTTTCAATCCAATTAATTTTCTGATTGGAAYGCGTCCAAGAAAATTTAATGGAAAATTCGTACCTGGCCCCATAAATTATCTCTAATTCAAATATTCCTTATTATTATTATTACAATCAATCTAAGGCCAATTTTTCCTTGTGACCTTTTAGAATTTTTTATACTCTATGATCTTTTTTTAATCATTCGTTATGTTTATTTTCTATTTATTGTGAGTCTAGAGTGTTAGTTCTGCTGGACTAAAATTTAGAATGGGACATTTCCCTCGAGTCATAGCAATTAAATTTATAAATAAAAAATTTGTAGGAAAAAAAGATCTCGTATGCATTACTAGCAAACCACAAACTTCTTCTGTTGTCCTCATTAAAACTCTCATATGTTATTTAGATGGATTTAAGGGTCGTTCTTAGGGATCTTAGATGTATCAAATTTCATATATTTAGGAATACATATGTTCGACATATTTAGATAATCATATTTGTTTTGTAGGATTTATTAYGATGTTTGAGATATTTGAACGGCATTAACATTTGTTTTTTAAGATTTGTACGGAAAAATCTTAAATTATTATATACTTATCCCCAAAAAGTTTTTACAAATATTCAGGTATTGACTTTTATGTCTTTATTAGTGGAATAGTTTGTTTGTTTTTTTAATAAATTTAGTTTATATTAAATCTAAATATTATTTCGTAGAACACACATTAATTTATATTTATTGTAAGGCAAAATACGACCTACCACGTGGAGTTTAGAAGAAATATCATCTCATGGGATATTTTTCAAAGTGAAGTGGCCAAGCTATAAAGCTSGATTAGAGTAATTCTTAGATAGCTCGGACAACCACTGAATGACCTCTAGAAGGCTACCRAGGCATTATTTTGGGTAACCATCCGTAACCGTGCAACTGATTTTTCATTGGACCCACTAGAGAGATATAGGTCGAACTATCACTGACTTTAGCGTCAGATTGTTTGTTTTCTTTGTACAGGTATTTCCTTGCATAGTTCAATTRATCCACAAGCACGTGCTTTTGAGGGGATCAAATTTAGGTAGAAACAATATTAATTGGATATTTTTATAAAATATTTAATATTAACTATTAATTCCAATYTGAACTTCAACTTTTTTTCTCAAAAGGAAACTAAAAAAAATTATAAGATCGATTATATTTTTACATTATTAAACAATTTTAAAAAAATTAAGGGTAATAATATTTGTTTCTTGAATTTTTTTTACATGTATTATTAATATAAATTTTGAAAGAATCTACTAAACATACTAAACAAATAAACAGAGATGAAGTTTATGTTATATAAAAATATAATTGCGTATACTTGTTTATTAGTGAAGAAGTATATTAATTTATTTAAATTATAAAACAAAAAATAAAATAAAGAAATTTGATGGAAGTAATAAAGAGAAAAAGATGTAAATAGATGAT